AAAACTATTTAATATTAAAATAATTGAGTCTCATTATTTTAAACCACCACTACTTTTAAAATACCATTTTATAGGTCTTTACAGGTTAAAAAGAAGGATTTTGTGAAAACATATATTTTTGGAAAGGTTTGATGTGTTTGTGGAATATGTTCTAGCATAGTGGGATAAACTTCTTTATGTTCCACCATAGTTGGGGAGTTTGCATGAAAGAGTAATGTGTTCCATTTGGCTAGGGAGGCTGCTTAGGAAAACAATGATTGTGTGCATTTATTTTATGTGTTTGATTTACTATCTAATTTTTATATTATAAAAGTTTGGATTTTGTTAAAAATTGTGATATTTTGGAATGAGTTTCATTTTCTTATTTAGAAATAAGATGTGTGAAAGTGATATAAGGAAAACTTTGTTTAGGAAAGACAATGTTTTTAAGTCTTTTCATTTTGACTCACCTCTCTTTTCTTGGGAGTTTACTTGGTGACCTCTCATATGTTTTATTTAATAAGGTGGAGAATTCTTGATTGGTTTAACATAATGCTTACCAAAACGATAAGTATATGATTCTTTGAGTGTGTGATGGGTTTTGAATCATGGAACATGAATAGAATTAGGGAAACCATGGAACATGGATAAAATTAGTGCTGTCAAAATGGGTTGAAACCTCTAAGCCAACCTGGCCCAATACGGGTTCGGGCTGAGTTGGTTTGAAAAAAATGTGAAATTTTGATGCGAGCCAATTTTGACCCAACTCACTAAGAACTTGATTCACCATGGACCCGTGGTGAGCCGAGTTCGCTTACCCACCCACTTATTTCTTTTATTTTTTTAATGAAATGAAACTAATTATTTATTCAATGAAACAAAAAACATTGCAACTTAAATCCTTATTTTGCAAACCCTTTTTTTCATATCAATTAGTCCAATTATTACTGTTTCAATTCGATCATCAAAATAATCTGTTATTAGAATCCTAGAAAAAGAGGGTGAAAAAAAGTTAAGTGAGCCAGTGAACCAACACGTTTAACCCACCAACCCGTGGTGGATCGGGTCAGGTCGGACCGAGTGACCTATTTTGACAACACTAGTTAGGACGAGGGAGTCACGATTCTCTCAAAATTTGTTTATTTTATCTTATATATGTATTTTAAAGTTATATTTATATATTATTATATTGTTTATATTCAGTTTATAAATGTTTTTTCTTTAAGTTTTGATATTTAATGATTATTTTATGGTATGATAGTGAATGAAAGACAATTAATTTTTTAGCTAAAATAAATAAATTATATATGAAAAATCTAATTTAACATGTTTGAATTTTCTCTCAAGTTTAGCTGGATAAAATGCCTAATGAAAACGATGAAGGTTGTTGATACTTATTTAAGTGTGAGGAGTCACTTGTGAGGAGTCACTTGTGAGGAGTCACTTGATGAATGTTAAGAGCTATCGTGTGGAGATTTAAGTTGACAATTGAGATTAAAATGTAGAAAAATTCAATGACTAAACATATCATTATAGAGGAAACGAATGTTAATATTAGATGTTAGCTTCAAAATAATCTTTAAGAAGTAGTCGAAATCGTAAAACTTATATATATTTCAAATGTTTTCTATAATGTTGAAGTAAATTATGATTGTTTTAGTTGAATTTGGTAAAATAATAATTTTGTATTACGTTTTTTTATTACGTTTTTTAATATTAAGACTTTCTAATATTTTTAATATATATA